ATATGTTTTTACAGCCAGTATCCAGTACAAATATTGGAGCATATTATAATTCCTGCGCCGCTACCACCGTCAAATACTCAAACGCAGCCGCCAGAAATGGTAGCTTTACATCCACAATCCGCGATGGGTGCATCAATTTCCGTAAGTTTACTCATTACTGTACCTCGGTTTATATGAAAATACTTATTCTAATGTTACGTTACAGAAATAATCCAGCTCAACAACAACCAAATTTACCACTACCTGTAAATAACGGCGGCAACAATCACTTTCAGTAAGTTACTTTTATTATACATACAATCTATTTTTAATAGTGTTTTTCTTATTGTTACAGTGCCCCGTTGCCTAGGGGGGAAAAAGATATGCAATTACTAAAAGAATTTATAAAAACGTCTTCAGCCGCCATCGACCAAGAAGCGGCGCCACCACCACCACCGTCGCCATCTGATGAACCGCCCAGATGGCACGAGCCGTCTACACCCCCCAAGAGCTGGCGAGGGTTATCCATGGGGTGTCTGAAGAAGATGCTGACAATTTTCCAGGCCAGACAAAGAAATTCCCAACTCCAGACGGAGCGTTTTGAACGGGAATTGACTGCATCACGGCTTCAAGATGAAAACCTGCATCGAGAGATGAAATTTATTATACTAATTTTTCTTTTTAAATTTAATTTCACATTTGTAATTGTAGGTACTTAATAAGTTAAACACTAATGTTATAATGTACCTAGTTTTATGTACAAAATACATGGATTATTTAATGCGATTGATATTAATTAATTTATGGTCTTATTCGGTAAAAACGAGGTAGCATAGTGATACTTTTATTATGTTAAAAATATCAGTCTTTAAAAACGGACTTAAGAGAATGTTAAACTTGAAGCAAATTTGTTAAGCGTCACGTAACATTCATACCATTAGCTTTAAAATGTAATTTTCGATCTAATGAACAGGTGCGTTATGGCAGTTGACGTTTTCTTACCGAGTTGTCGCGGTTTTTCATTTTATTTCAGTGAGTGTGTGTTCTACTAGTATCTTTAAAAATTAAAAGACCAGTCGAAACTCGTGAAAAATGGCGGCGAAATCTCACATGGACACGTACCTTAAACACAGCATGTTATATTTTTAACCAAATTTAGGCTGTTTTTAGCCAAAACGAAAGTGAAAAAATTGTAATTATTGTCAATGAATCCTTTTCTTTGTTCTCTAAATTGGAACAAGTTGTAAATCGGCATATGCATGATGAAAGCGCATTTTTGGTAATACCGATCAGTGTTTTTTATTTTTATTTAAGTCACGATGACGTACCTTGTAAGTAAAAGGTGTAAGCCCAAATAACATTTCACAACTTTCTTTGCAGAACGTGGCATGAAATAAACATATTCTATCTGATTTGCACCAACCAACACTGGTGAACTTCAGTGGAAACAGAAGCAGAAGCAATATTAAAAGTAGAGCAACCTAAAAATTCAATTGCTTGAATTACAAAGAAAAGTTGAAAAAGAAAAACTCAAAAGATTTAACATCGACATTTGAGCTGTTTTTTACTATTATGTTTAAGTTCTATATCCTAATACAGATTTTATGGGCATATAGCATTTACATTGTTCTTATTAATAAATAATCACATATATGTTGAATGGTGGGTTTATGCAATCATTATCATTAGTTCACTATGAAAAATCATTAAGAAATAACCAATAGAAACAAAGCTTTATTGCACGTTACTAACCAACGAAATCACCCTGACCCTAGTAAACTAATGATAATGATTGTATAAACCCACCAATAATGTAGAAAAACAGTCGCGTACTATTGAGGTGTCTATATCCCTTTAAATACCCTGTATATTTCAACGTCGGATGCAACCGGTCATGTAGGTGGAGATTCTGAGGACATGAGCCACCGTCATTACCACCTGTTGATATTTTTTTTGGGAGTTTCCGGGGGATGTTGGGCTTGGCGTCACTTGTTGGTTGTTAAAGCTTGTTGGTGGCGGAAGTATTGCATTCTGAGTTGTATTAATTGAGTTTTGCTTTGTATCTTGTGTTTGTGTTTAAGTTATATTAAGCCACTTTGGTGTCGGGTAAAGTATTGTATGTAGTTCAATCTGTTTACTCTTTATGTACCTATATGAATTGTGCGATTTGTTATATCAGATATTTTCCATTTATCATTGTGCTAATAGATGTTGGTACCGTGACCAGGATATTGTGACTCGGCTGCTATGTGGCAGGAACTTCATTTTTCGTTTTAGTTTTTCATTTGTGCACCTTGTGAATTCTTTTACTAATTGTGTTTTGTTTCCTACAGACATACTACTTTGTGTGTGTGCTTCCAGAATGAATTATAGTGTTTATATGGCAACGCTGCAACTGACGTCAAAACTGACATTAGCAACCTTGACATCAGCTGTTCTAAATGTCATCTAGCAATGACATTCCCCCGCAAAATATCGTACCATTCGGTATCAGTCACGTGGACACACCCCACGGTCCTTAGTATACGGACCGTGGACACACCCCACCTTGAAATCAGGGTATAAAAAGGTGTGCATCCACGTGAAAACTTCAGTATGTTTCAGTCGTTATTGGTGAAGGAACTCGCCTACCTTTACACGACATACACACTCTCATACCTTCTGCTGTTATTAGCGAAGGAAGGATCTACACATACATACATCTACAACTAGTAGTCATGAAAGACCAATTCATCGTTGCCATAAAGTACAGTGTCAGTCAAGTATAATGCAATCTACCTCAATAACTCTTTAAGAAAGAAAAGAAGCATCTTCGACGAACCATAAACCAATTCTAAAACGTCCAGCCTTATCAGTTCCTGTATCACCTTTGCCGGATTCTCCAAAGAGATCACAGCAAGATAGTGCAGGATGGTAGTTGATTACAGTGTCAAATATTTCCAATCCTTATACATCAGTGTGTAATTATGAAATTGACTTAAAGGATCCACGACGTTTTATAGTTAGGTCGTTAATTAGACAATCAATAGGTTATAAATGTTCTAAATGTATTTCTTGTTAATTATTTAATTTTTAGTGTTCTACGTGTTGTTAGAAAAATTGTTTCACAAGTGTAAATACAAACTTATCACAAAAGACACTAAAGAATCAACAATAGGGCGTGACGATTATGCGGGCTCAGAGGGTGACCAGGTGTACGAAATGGCTTCCGTGGAGCTTGAAATGATCCAGCTCAGGGAGACCGTTCAACAACAGGCTGTCAAGGTTGAGGCATTCATGAAGTCCCAGCAGGAACTGAACCAACAGTTGTTGGAAACGAATCGGAGGTTGTTGGATGCCCTTGAAAGGAATCCTCCGAGAGGGACAACTCCGTTAGGTGTCGCGGTGTCTGATGTAGCAAGCGGTGAGTCTGTTCCAAGTCGAACTGTAGTTCCCAATCCCGGTCCTAGTTCCCTTCCTTCTATTCTCTCCAGCTCTGTTGCTACCACCAGTGGTACCAATATGGATTGGAAAGAGATCGCGACTTGGTTAGCTAGGCGTGCTTCTGTGGGTTCGGCAGTACAAAAACCTTTCTTTGCGTCTGGTAGAAACCATCCCATAGTATTCTTAGAGCGGTTTGAGATCTCTGGGTCCTAGGGTGCTGGAATGGATGTTGATCAGGGAAGGACAGTGGGAGAGCTTTGAGGATTTTCGCAAGGACTTCTTAGGGTTATATTGGTCGGGTGTGTAACAACACTCAGAACGGATGAGGCTATTGTTGAAGCGGTATCTTCCGGATAAGGGGCTTTCCATGTCGGAATATTTTATTAATCAAATCACATCGTTGCGTGCCGCGTCCCCTTTGGTCCCGGAGGTGGTTTTGGTAGAAGATGTGATCCAGCAATTTCCGCAGTGGGTGCTGTCGTTGTGGACCATGTCGCCAGATAAAGATTTGAAGGGGACTTTGGAATTCTTGGCGAGCCAGGAGGCCAACTATAGCAAGAGATAACGTCCCTTTTCAGAACCGACGTCTGCACCTGTGACCCAGAGGCAACGGTTGGAATGTCCGGATGACCAGCAAGCTGAGCCGGGGAGCAGTGGTCGCCAATCGGGAAACTTCCAAGAGGGCCGATAAGAAACTCCTATTATGACTGGTCATCCAACTTTGATTGATTTGAACATATTACAGATTAATAATTTATCTAGGGAGAAGGAAATTTTGAGTGAAAGATTTAGTAAGGTGTTTATAGTACAAAATTAACCAGTATTAAATGCATGACATACAATTAAGGTTGATTATGTTGGTAAAATGGTACCATGTAGAAAAATTCCATTTGCATTAACAGAATCATTAAAAACTGAACTTGATGTGCTCGTCAAGAATGGTGTAATATCAAAAGTGCATGAACCTATAGTATTTGTTAGTGAGGGAAGGATGAAAAAGAAAATGTGAATCGTTTATCAAGAGTTTTACAGAGAGCTCAAACTATACTTACTCGCTCTATACGCAATCACTTTGTCCATCAAAATGCACCAGAACCGGATCACACACATCTACATCGATTTGGCCAAAGACATGTCGAATTTGAGGCTAGAATTCGTCAAATTTCTGGGGTTGTTCCCTACAAAAAAGTCACCTGATCGAGGCTTGGTCTCTTCGAAACGAGATGAGTCGATCCTGAAACCTGCAGTGCATGTTTCCCTTGCAGTTAAAACCAAAGGTTCTTGATATTCATTTGATTCAATTAATAATAATAATAATAATAATAATAATATATTTATTGAGTTATTGTGTGGGTACACTTACTCTAGTCAAGTCTCATACATATGTAATTAACAGACACAAAGGTATATAAAAAGTACATACAAGTACAACAAAGAGACATGCATATTCCTTACTCAATTCTGCGACAGTGACTTATAAACTCGTCAAATGAATAGAAAGCATTTTCTATAAGTACCTTTTTGATAGAAGTTTTAAATAACTTTAAAGGAAGTATTTTTATATGTGCGGGAATACAATTATACAATACCTGTGATTGATAAGTCAAACCATTTCGAGTTTTTGTTAGTCTACAAAAAGGTAGCCTTATGTTGTCTTTTTGCCTGGTGTTATACGAGTGTACATCTGATTGAAGGACAGTTGAGACCATATTACTTTTGACTAGACATACTACTTGCAAAATATATAAGCAAGGGAATGTCATAATTTTTAAAGTGATAAATGAGACACGGCAGTCGTCTCTATAGTTTAAACCAGAGAGCACTCGTACGGCTTTCCGTTGCAAACGGAATACACTGGACCAGTGGGAACTGTGTCCCCATGCCAAAATTGCATATGATAACGTACTTTGTATAAGTGCGTAATAAGCAGTTTTCATTACCTTTAAGGATACATTGTTTTGCAATTTCCTTAATAAAAAAAGTGATTTATTCATTTTTTTAATAATGTTAGTACACTGCACATGAAAATTAAGCTGTGGATCTATTACACAACCCAAGAGGGACATTTCCCTTGTTGCAAGATAGGGGTCGGTCGTTCTTAATGATAGGGGCATTATAACTGTTTTAGATTCATTCAGTAGTAGCTTATTGTCTATACACCAATTTGTAACGATTTCGATGGCACTTTGAGTATATGACAGCAATACTGAAGTCATCGTTACATGATAGCAAGGTTGCGTCATCAGCATAAAGAATGCAATCC